GTCAATACGACACAACACGTTTATTAAATGGGTCGGGTTAGTGTTGACCTTTCCCAACCCATTTAATTTTCAACACGAAACGACACGATTGTCAGGTCTAATTGTTCGGCTATTGGGTTCATAGAATGGAATACTATCATACATGGACACTTTATCCAACTACCGTGTTTGTGTCGGACACTGTGTTAGACACCGACACTCGTGAGACATACGACGATACGTCTCGGATCGTATTCTACTATGATATGAGTTGTTCAACTTTTTTTTAATGAGAAAATTTAAGTAAAGTAAGATGAATAAGGTAATTGTTAAATAATATAGGTGCCTTTATATATAGCTCATTGTTAATATGATCTAATGAGAAGACGGAATGACAAATATATGGTCAAATTTATTTTTTAAAATATATTATAGGATATTTTGGATTTTAACAGCTGATAAAAACCCGAAAATGGTTTTTAACACCCCTAAAAAAAACTTTTATTTTAACACCTGACAAAAAATATAAAAATGGTTTTTTACCACCATTTAACTGATTCCGTTTAGGAATTCGTTAAGTGAAACGGAATCAGTTAAGTGGGTTCATGAGCCACGTGTCGCTTTATTATTGACCAAAATATAAAAAAAATAAAAAAAAAAACAAAAAAAAAAAAAAAAAAAAAAAAAAAAACTAAAACTACCCAGCCACCCTAGCCCCACCGCCGCCCCACCACTGCCACCTTCTTCAGCTTGACCCACAGCCGGCGACGCAAAGACTAGTGCACCACCTCGCCCTCCCTCACCGGGCGACCTAAACCCATCCCCACCCTTTTCCCGCGGCCCTAAACCACCCTAGCCTGACCACCGCCATCACTGCCATCACCAAGCCCAAATATTTGAGCGTTGATGGCCGAAATCGACCGGTTAAGGCCACTTAGCCCCAAAATCGGTCGATTTCAGCCATTAATGGCCAAATTCGCCAGCTTTTTTGGGGAAGGAAGGCTGCTCAGCCGCGAAACCACCACCCCTGAAATTCGTCGTCGTTTTCTGGGCACGGTTTTTGGTGGGGGTTCTCGAATTTTGGCTAAGGGAAGTGAGGGTACGTCGAATTCCGGTGTTAAGAAAGGTTCGGTGGCGTTTAATCCGGTGATGAGGGGCTGGGAGAGGGTGGTTCGGGGTTGGCCAGGGAGAAGGGCCACCGTTGGTGGCTGCCTTCTGGTTGTTTGAGCTTTTTAAAAAAAAAAAAAAAAAAATTATTTTTTGAAAACAAGTAAAATGGTGACACGTGTCACTGTAGACCCCACTTAACGGAATTTTTGGACGGAAACCGTTAAGTGGTGGTAAAAACCATTTTCATAACATTTGTCTGGTGTTAAAATAAAACTTTTTTTTGGAGGTGTTAAAACTCATTTTCGGGTTTTTGTCAGGTGTTAAAATCCAAAATATCTTATATTATATGAATTTTAATATTCTGTACCCGTATCCCTTATTTTAAAATAGACGTTTTTACGTGTCAGTTTCATACCCATATACCGTATTCGTGTCAGTATCCATTCTTATGCAATCTAGTGGAATAGTTGTGTACTAGTGTGGGCTTTTGAGTGTTGGCTTTGGGTTTGACCGTTTGACATTGCTGTATATTCTAAATTGAGTGTTGGACTGTAGGTCACTTGGTGTTGGCTAATGTATTTATGAATTTTTTTTTTTATAATTTATTTAGTTTTATAAAGGACGATTATAAATAAATAAATAAAAAAAAAAAAAAGGAAACAAGGTATAAGAAAAAGGTAATTTTAGGATAAAAATAAATTAATAAATCTGTTTATCCAATTTGACCAATTATTAGTGTTAAAGTAACATGGTAGGATATAGGGGTATAAATGAGCTAATATATTCACAAACTACTCACGAATAATTTCGGTCAAAACGTGTTTGTTAAGTAAGTAACTAACAAAATTGAACAAAAAACTTAAGCTCATCAAAAAAATGAACAAAGCTCGGACAACATCATGTTTGACCCGATAATGCTCGTGAAAAACTTGCTTAAGTTCATGTATAAGTTTGTTCACACTCGATTATAACTAGGGATGTCAATGGGGCGGGGTGGGGCGGATGTTGGCCTTTCCATCCCTATCCCCATCTAAACTTTCATACCCATCCCCATCTTCATCCCCGCAACAGGTCTAAAATTCATCCCCATCCCCGCCCCGGCGGATACAATTCCAAAACCATCCCAGCCCCAACCCCCACTTGAATATCCACCCCCACTTAAGACCCACCTAATCTCCCCGCCTCCCAAATACATAATTAATAAAGATTGCAAAAAAAAAAAATATTGTTAATATTACACATTTTTTTGTTTATAGTATAAGTATATTACAAATATTATATTTACTATTTTATTTTACATATATTTTTTATAAAATAGTATAGAAGTATATAATTTTGTTTTACAAAATATATGGATGTGGGAATGGGGCGGGTACGAAGTAGGGTGGGTGGGGATGGGGCGGGTACGAAGTGAGACGGGCGGGGATGGGGCGGGTCTCCTATTTAACCCGCCCCACTGACATCCCTAATTATAACTCGGTCAAAGCTCACTTAAGGTTGAAAAATCTCTGATATATTAAAACTAATTTAGTATTTATATCTTTTTTACTCATACATAATTGTAAAAACTACAAATTCTTTAATATTACTTTTTTCCTTAGAAAAAAATAGAAACTTTCCATACTAAATTAATTAGATGCATTAAAAAATAAAAGAAATCATTTTTAATATAATGATAAATAAGGTTTTATTTATATAATTAAGCTCGTCCAAGCTCGAGGTTAAACTTGATATACAAACAAGCATGTTCTTGAATCTTAAACAAAGCTTGAACAAGTCAAATCCTTAATGAGCCAAGCTCGAACAAGATTTTTAAAAACTCTTTCAAGCTCAAAAACTAATATTTCTTCTCAAAATTTTTTTTGAAACAAATCAATTTATCAATAAAAAGCCATCTGTCATATACAAATGAAATCTAAATTAACAAATACATAAAATTGAATCAAATTAGGGTTTCCTTCATCAGAGCTACGATCGTTGAAAAGATCTTGCATTGTGGTACATCTCTCGCACACATTGCTGGAATATACAACATTTTCGGAGAGACGATCTAAAGATTTGTTGTAGTCGTAAGGATAGTTTTTATCTGATTCGCTTGACCGCATTTGAAAACTTGATAACCGTTGCGATCCCGAACAAATCTTTACTAACGAACTAACAATAGGGGAAAAGATGATTACCTTTTTGATAAACCCTAACACACAAACAAACCCTAAACATAAACAAACAGCTAAACTAACCAAAACTAACGACTCCACCACAGGAAGGCACTCCACCATAGGCAGACATAACATACAAATATCTACACTAGTCGTGTAGATTTATTGAAATATAATTGCAAAACTAAAGAAAATCAAGGGAAAAGAGTCGGAAATAATCGGATATAATCTAATTTTCGAAAAAATTAGACTATTTCCGGCCTAAATGGCCAAGTTTTTGGAGAAACCCTAGAAGAGAGGAAGAGAGAAGAAAAGAGGAGAGGCGAGAGAATTTTTTTTTAATTTAATCTTTTTAATTATTTCTTCTCAAATTTAGTTGAACAAAACTCATCTCGACTCAAATCGACTCGAATTGTTTGCAGAATGGCAAACTTAGTGGTAGGGTTGAGCAATATTATCAGAAAAACCGAAAATCTAAACTGTAACCGAATCGAAAATTAGGGTACCCGTTTCGATAACCATAACCGTTGGGGTACCTGATCCGATAATTTGTTATCGGGTACAGTTATTGGGTATCATTTTAAATTTAACGGTTACCCGATCCGTTCCGATAAGCAATTTTTTTTCCCTACTTAAATCTATTTATCCAAAATCTAAACTATTATTTTACTTCGTAATCACTTCATAATTTAAATGATTAGTAATTTGGTCATGATCATGTGGTATTATTGTTGATTAGTGTTGAACGATATCATAATAACTATATTATAAAGTCTAAATTTTTTTTATTGGATATCATATTGGGTACTCGATTGCCGAACCGAAACCCGAACTTATTAGTTCGGATAATGAATATAATTATTAGTGTTAATGATTATCGGATACCCGAACCGATAGTGTTAACGGTACGAATACCGTCCCATACTCACCCCTACTTAGGCCCTGTTTAGTTCACCTTATTTTTACTTATTTCAGAAAAAATAAGTTCAGATCAGAAAAAATAAGTTCAGATCAGATCAGACAGAAAAAATAAGTTCAGATCAGATCAGATCAGAAAAAATAAGTTCAGATCAGATCAGATTAGGAAAAATAAGTTCAGATTAGATCAGATCAGAAAAAATAAGTTCAGATCAGATCAGAACAGAAAAAATAAGTTCAGATCAGAAAAAATTAAGTTCAGATCAAATTATTATTATTATTATTATTATTATTATTATTATTATTATTATTATTATTGATTTATGATGTATCGGATTTGATTTTATCGTTTGTTTGAACTAGCAACATTGTCTATGTTATTAAATAGCACAAACAATAAACGATAATAATTAAAATTTCATTATAAGCTCCAAATCATAAACGTTTACAAATATAATTTTCATTTCAAGACGTTCCAAATTTCCTTCGCTATATTAAGTTGTACTTCTTTCATTACAGCTTTACGATTCTCGTTAAACAAATCATAATCTGCTCTTGGTTCGATTTCTATACCACTATCAATGGGTATATCCAACTCATGTAATCGAATAAAATTGTGAAGTGTGAATGTAGCAACCATAATTGCCAATTGATGTTTAGTGTCCATTTGTGGCATCATTGTCAATATTTTCCATCGACCTTTTAATTGTCCAAAACATCTCTCGATCGTTGTTCGAAGTGAAGAGTGAAGATAATTAAAAAGTTCAAGCATGCCTTGTGGTGGTGGACCATTTCGAAATTCAGGCAAATGGGTTCTAATATCTTTTTCTTTTATTGGACTCAAATATCCAACGGTATTCGGATATCCAGAATCTACTAGATAATATTTTCCTGTTACAAAATAAAATTATACAGCATATTAGTATAGTGTCATGTATGGAGTAAAAACATACACTATTTTAAATTATACCTGGAGGTGGATGGGGAAATCGAAATTCTGGTACAGTTAAGCAATGGTTCCATACAGTAATATCATGAGCACTACCTTCAAATCCAACGTTGATAAACGTGAAAAGCCTATCAAAGGAACAAGCAGCCAAAACATTCCATGTTTTTTTTCCTTTACGCCCTCGGTGTGCCACACCATCATCATCGCTTACAACTGCATTTATATGAGTCCCACCAATGCTCCAACACAATCCTAATAGTTCATTAACATTTAGGATACATTTTATAAGTGATTATATATTTCATATGCATAAAATAATATAATGACAATGCAAGATAATAATAATGTTTCTTAATACCTTGAAATATGGCCAATATTTTGTGCTGTCACCTATTTTTTTTGGCACCACGGTCAAACTTTGGTATGGTCTTATGATCTCGGTAGACAAATGAACCATTGCTTCCAGTACTTGTTTAAAGTACAACCCAATTGTTGCAATAGAGTGCTGAAATCGACCGGCAGCATCACGATAAGAACTGCCTTTAGCCATGATATATAAAAATATTCCTAATTGCTCAGCCACAGATATGTAACGACCATCCGATAATAAATTTTTATTTTTCATGCAAGTAACAAGATCCACAAATATGTTTCTATCTAATCTCAATTGTTCTTTGCATAAATCAGGATGGGCATGTAGTAGTCTGTATATGTATTCGCTACCAGATTCTCCACCTAACCTTAGAGGCAATCTCTCAATTGGTGTAAGAAGTCTCTTTAGCTCTTCCAATGCGATAATTGTCAAGCACATTGGAAGTGTGTTATCCATTCTACAACATAAACCAACAAAATACCAACATTATTCAATTTGTAAAATAAAATCAACAATGACTTTTAAAATAAAGGCTAAAGCTTCTTAATTAGATCACCTGAAAAGCAATAGCATCATATGAAGCTACTTAAACCTAAAGGTCAGAAAAAATAGTAGCTTCATATGTGGAACCTTAATTAAAACTAGAACAACATCAAATAACTAACAAAGAACATATGAAAGTGCAAAACAAGTCATAGGAAAACATAATCCAAAGTTAACTTCAAATACTCATCTCCCCAAAAAACTAATTAAGGACCACCCAATGTTGGATCTTGAAATGCTGTCTTCAAATACATGATCTTCTGATCATCAGTACGGAGACCTAAGAAGAAATCTGCATTATCTCCATGATGAAGAAAATTCATACATTGGTAAATAAATCCTTCTCCTTGTTGAACAATAGCCTCAATATTGTATAGAGCATCTGAGACATCTTTATACTTATTACCACTCCCTTGCTTACAATTAGTTGATGGGAATGCCGAGGTGGGGGGTGGTGGGGATCTGGGATTTGTGGTTAATTTCGAACGGTTTGGGTGGTTTGGGTGTTTTCGGGGGTGGTGGGTGCGTGTGGTGGGTATGTGCAGTGGGTGCGTGTGGTGGGGATGGGGGGGCTGGTGGAAGGGTTGGTGCGTGTGGTGGGTGTGTGTGGTGGGTGTGTGATGAAGTGATGATTGTAGACGAAATTATACTCCGTAACTACGTAGTATGTAAAATTATAAGTTCAATTATAATTATAAGTATTGAAGTATGGTATCAACTACACGTAACTTCCATCAAGTTATAAGTTCAATTATAAGCTCCCAAATGTATACTTCGTATGTATGTAAAATAAATTCTGAAATTATTCAACTGTATACTATAGACGCCCAACAGATGAAGTGATGATTGTAGATGAAATTATGAAAATATAATAAAAAAAAAATAACAAAGAGTTAAGGTATTTACCTGTCGACGAGATTGTATACGAGCAAGCTACTACAATGACCAACAGAAGGACAAAATTTGGGAGAGATTGATGTGTTGTAGGTAAGAGATATTGCAATACGAAAATATATATATATATACACAAAAAAAAAAACTGTAGTACCAAACTACCAATACTCCCAATTAATATTTTTGTCACCCAATTCAGATTTCTAGAATTGACTGACAGTAAAATTACAGTACCGAGAAACCCAATTCAGATTACAGAAAAATTAATTCAAAATAAAAAAAATGGTGAAGAGTAGCAACAATGGTGAAGAGTGTAAAGTAAGCACAAAAAACAGAGAGGAGAGAGAAAGTGTGAGTACAGAAAAAGAGATAGACAGTTGTTATGGGAAAAAAAAAGCAAGGTCAAAATCTGGAAAAGTGAAAAATTAAAGAAGAGAAAACAAAGTAAAAAAATAATTAAATCATTCCAAAAGGTTAATTAAAATAAAAATCATTTATATGTTGCATTTGCTACATGAATTGAAAAGCTAAACTTATATAGCTGAAAATAAGGTTAATTATGAATCATTTTCCTTATCTTACTTGAAGTTAAAAACATATATGCGTGTAAGTGGTCATATTCGGACTTGATTTACTCGAATAACATACAATCCCATCGTTTATTTATCTATTTATTTATTTGTTACTAATGCATCAAAAAATCTTAAATTTTTTGGAAAAGAGACCAAAATTGACCCATTATCACTCTCTCTATGGGTTGACTACGTGAGAAAATAAGGTGGTCAGAGTGGTGATATAACTCTTTGCCTGAATAAGCTTAAACAGTGAAGACTGAAGAGTCGTAAATTTCATGACTGTTGCTTATAATTTACGCATTTTTAGCCTTAACCTTGGTCTGCAAGCAATAGCCCAGGTTGACCAAAAAAATTAACAGTACGTACAGTTACATTTATGGGTACTTGTGTGTTTTCTGCCCTAAAATTGACCACATTTATTATGTTGTGATCATTGAATAATGCTATCATCTTTGATTCTTTGAACATACATACATGTTCAGAATTGATTCCTCAGTGACTAAACCATCTATACTAGTGAAATTGATATGTACAAATTTTACGAGTAGAAATCTCGCGTTTGATCTTAATGAATGAAAAAATGTAAATATTTCTTTTTTAACTTGTTTATATGAACCCTAGCGACACGAATTCCGTAGCTACATCTGCTGTATTTTTTCTATAATCTTTCTTCATTAGGGTGGTAATGATAATTTCAAGTTTATGGAGTTGTTTGATTTGTAGAGTACGTGTTCTTAGTTTTAGTTTTGCAATTTGGTCTTACAATTCTCTACTCTATAGTTCAACACTTCAACTCTTATACTACGTACAATTTTACCAATTTTAATTTTCACACTATTCCAAACCTTTATCACTCAATTCCAGTGATTCCACGCCTTTTCTAAACTCAACCAAACAGTCCACATTTTTATGGGTTCTGACCTTATGAGTACTTATTTCTTTTATAACATTAGTATTTCTTTCTCTACAGAAAGCCAGCCCTAAATGCCATAGACTAACGACAAAGTTGTTTTGGTTATTTGGGCATTTTAATTTTCAATCGGACACATTTTCTACTTTTGGAATTTTACAAATAAATTATTTTATATTTTATAAAAATAGATGTTCTATAGCTTATTGTGATACTTTTGGAGTATCATTCACACCATAATCTAGTTAATGGTTAATTATATAATATGATTATATGTTTTAAACAAGTGATGTTAAAAACTAACTTGATTTGAAACAACTAAGAGTGAGTTAGTCTATTATTTGATCAACTCATTGTAATTTGTAAAAAGTCAACAATTTCGGGCAATAGTGTGTGTAACCGTGTAACACCAATATAGTGCAAACAACTCATGCATGAAACAACATTAAAAAATGTAGTACCAATCTATTTTGTACGAGTATCATTTTAATTTTTTTTTTGTCACTTTTAATTTACTTACGGAGTGTAATGCGTGACCAAATCATGTCTTCCAAGTTTCAATAGAGGAGCCTAGCGCTAACATGGGTCGGAAGAACCTATGAGAGGTTCCAACTCGGTAGAGTCTTTTTCTGTATATAAAAAAAAAGATTCAATAGAGGAACAAATGAATAAAAAACACTTAAACACCCTAAACAAGTTAAATATAAAAGCTTAAATAAAAAAAGGAAAATGAAATATAATAATCCCACCTTTGCTCCTATCTTCCAGTAACAATCTCACCTTTTGAAATTTTAGAAACAATTCAATTAACAATAATGATATTATTATTATTTAATAATAATAATAATAATATAATATAATATAATAGTAATAATAATATAATAGTAATAATAATATAATATAATATAATAATAATATAATACAATATAATATAATAATAATAATAATAATAATAATATAATATCATATAATAATAATATAATATCATATAATAATAATATAATAATAATAATAACAATAATAATAATTAAACATTAATATTAATTAACATTAAAAGTAGGATATTGAAATAATTAAAATAAGGTCAAATCAGAAAAAATAAGTTCAGATCAGATCAGATCAGAAAAAATAAGTTCAGATCAAATCAGATCAGAAAAAATAAGTTCAGATCAGATCAGATCAACTAAAATCAGGTGAACTAAACAGCCTCTTAGTGGGGCATCGCTAAAATCTCACACTTAGACCATTATCAGCAATGAGGAGAAAACAAACCCCTCAATCTCTCTCTACCCACTTTCTCTCTCTTCCCATCCAATTCCTCTCATGAGAGGTTTTTTTTTCTACACCAATGCTCTAAAAAAAAACTCCTCATCACTTTATCCTCCACTATTTACTATACCCCACCATAAATACACATCACCTTTTTTTTATCCTTTTTTTTTTAATAATGTTTATACTACATATTTAACTTTCCAATACAATTAAAAATATGTAATTTTTTTTTTCATTACATTTTAATTGTAATGTAATATTTTTTAATAATTTTTTAATTATTTTGGTAAATTTTTAATTTTTTTGTTTTATATTTGTATTTATTTAATGACGGGTAAAATTAATAAAAAAAACATTTTCAATATAATTTTGAATTTTACGCTCTTATTAGAATATAATAATTAATAAAAATTACAGCAATTATAGATTGTACGAAAGATGTTTTCTTAAACTTAAACGATTACATAATAAGAAGCACATTTTTGAAATGAACACATAAACGGCAATACAAATACATCGGATATTAAATAACAGTACGTTTACGAACTTAATAAAAGCGGTTTGAGCTAAAATAATACACGAGGACGAGTATTAAAACTTAAACACGATACGATTACATTCTACAACTTTGCTTATTCGGTCGTATTATGACGAAAGTTCTGCCATATGTGTTCTACTAAATCTTGTTTGAGAGACGAATGAATTTCTCTATCACGAAGGGCAATCCTCCTCTGAAAATACGCGTTGAAATCTATGTTGGGCGGCCGCCCGACGTTGAATTCAAATGGCTCGTTGTTATTCACCGTGGCACTTGTGCTCGGTCCCGCCCGCGCTGCTGGACGTTGTGGTCGATCTTCTTCGTAGTATCGTCTCAAAACATCTGCCCGTGTGTAGTTGTGTCGTTCATCCTCGACGATCATGTTGTGCATTATTATACAGGCTTTCATAATGTCACAAAGAATATCTTCGTCGAAGGCCAGTGCAGGTTGTCGTAGTATAGCAAACCTAGCTTGTAAAACTCCGAAAGCCCGTTCAACGTCTTTCCGAACTGCTGCTTGTTGATCAGCAAACAACTTATCTTTTTGAACTTGAGGATGTGTAATACCTTGTATAAAAGTTGGCCATTTCGGATAAATCCCATCTGCCAAGTAGTAGGCCAACTCATATTGATGTCCGTTTACCCAAAAATTTATTGGTGGTGCACGACCTTGTAAAACATCATCAAACACCGGTGAACGGTAAAGGACATTAAGATCATTACATGAGCCAGGCATTCCAAAGAATGCATGCCAAATCCATAAATCCTGATCAGCAACGGCTTCAAGAATGAGGGTTGCAGTCTTGCTACGACCAGCATATTGTGCTTTCCAAGCCGTAGGACAATTCTTCCACTCCCAATGCATGCAGTCTATACTACCAATCATGCCTGGAAACCCACGCAATTCATTTTGATGAAGGATTCTCCTTAAATCTTCATCTGTAGGTTTACGTAGATATTCACTTTCAAATTGTGAAATAACCCCCTGACAAAAATGTTGCAATGCATTCCTTGAGGTTGTTTGGCCGATACGTAGATATTCATCCACGACATCGGGGGCTACGCCATACGCTAACATTCTTATTGCAGCGGTGCATTTCTGCAACGGTGATAAACCAAGCTTTCCAGCTGCATTCGGACGTTGTTGGAAGAATTGATCCCCTTCAACCACCTTATTCATAATGCGACAGAACAAAGATCTTCGCATACGAAATCTACGGCGGAATTGGTTGTCGTTATACACTGCATTACTCGCAAAATAATCGTTATATAGTTGTACATGCCCTTTTTCTCTTTCCCTATCCCTTTTAGGCTCCGGGACATTTGCTATATCATTATTAAGCTGGGATTCTTGTGATGAGTGTTGGGGAATTAAAATATGAGGTAGGTGGTTAGCAGCATAATCATCAACTAACCGATCAAATTCAACGTTATTTGAGACGTCAGAAGAACTAGAGCTTGAGGTGGAGGAAATGAAAGACATGTTTTGGTTATGGTTTGATAGTTGGTTTGTTTGGGATTCTTTCCGTTTTGAATAACACTTGCATGTATATATAGTCCAAGTGACTATCAATGCATGTGAGTTGCTCTGATTTTGCATGTGAGTAACTCTGAATTGAAATTCATGTATCATTGCAATCTCTGCAATGAAATTGATGTGTCATGCATGTATATATAGTCCATATGACACTTCAATGCAATCTCTGCAATGAAATTGATGTGTCGTTGCACTCTAAATTGCAATTGAATTATAGATGCATGTGATGTATGACACTTGAACAGTTGATTTGACTAATCAACATAAAGCTGTGGAGATTTTATTGGGAGATGTTTATTTGTCATTAACCATTACATGTGATTTTTATTAAAAACAAATTTCATAAAGTAAATAATTTACTGCATAATTAATGTTATAAAAACATAATTCATTTCACATTAATGTAAATAAAAAGGAGTACATCTTAACATTAATTAAAATAAAAAGGACTACATTAAACATTAATTAAATAAAAACAGTAGCAAACACATTAAGCTGATCTAAATTACATGTTCCTTCTACCATAGAGTAGTGCACGTAATTCTTCCTTGTAAGCCTCTTCATCAGGAGTTAGGTCCGGTCCCTTTGCCATTAGATCTTGCAGCATTTCGTAGTTAAGCCTTCTCTCTTGAATTTCGACTTGTTTTTGGTGAAGCTCTACTTGTTTTTGCTTCCTTCTTTCCCTTTCCATGTCGAAATCCATCTTCTTCAACCGCATTTGTGCCTCGATTTCCCTCGTAGCATTATTCTGCTTTAATTGCTCGGTAATGTTTGAGACGTCAACAACCACTCCTTTTCCCTTATTACGCCTGGACTTTGCCTTTTTAACGCCATCAGGTCGAGCAAGACCCCCAGAAGTGAAACCGGTAACGTGAACAACATCTTCATCATCAGTTCTACACCGCTTTTCACTTCCACTACTGTCATCCTCGACAGCATCACCGCAAGCTAATCTTTCCTCTCTTGACAACGCCCATCTCAGTTTTGTCCTCCACTTCGGGTCATTTTTAACCATTTCCCAACCATGGTGACAATTAAAATTATGTGGAGTAGGCTTGGAGGAAATATAGAATAACTTACTTGCATTATTAATTCGGTCTGCTTCGTTGTAACCACTTCCATTTGCCCTACCAGCTTCGTCATAGCAACTACTCCATTGTATTAAATCAGTTGCCATCCTTCTCCAACGGCTTTCCAAACTCCTCAAAGGTCTTGGCGGCAGGATGTGGGGTCTCTCAGCCTGTGCTTGATCATATGCTGCAGATATTTTTCGCCATAGCGCAGCTGCTTTTTGGCTTGTACCAACAATTGCATCCTCACTGAATTGAAGATACAAACCAATTAGAGCTTCATCCTCCGCAACAGACCACATTCGACTTCCTTTTGTTAGTGGTTGGTTTTGATTCACAGACACTCTTGAAGGAGGTGGAGAGTATTGAGGAGTGTCTGGAACATTTTCTTCCATTTCATCATCTAATTGAGAATCGGTGCCTTGATAAACAAGAGGTGAATGTGGTTCATAGGTAGTGTTTTGGAAAGGAGTTTGATGAGGTGTTTGTTGTGTTGAATTTTGCAAAGAATTGTTTCCAAGCCTTTGTAGGAAAAGCTGAAATCGAGGATTAGTGACAAAATCATCACCCAAATCAGAGAAATGATTAGAAAAATTAGGGTTATTAGGATCCATAAGTTAATAGAGTAGAAAAGTAATAAAGCTTTTTATTTTTGGAAAAAATAAATAAAGCTTTAAACAATAATTAGTAAAAAAATCAACAATTACTAAAAGAACAAAAACTAAATTATATTTTCAAAAAATAAAAACAGCTACAACAACAATAATATTAATGATAATTATAATAATAATAATGATAATAACAATAATAATAATAATAATAATAATAACACTAATAATAATATTTTTTTTTTTCAGAAAAACGTAAATAATAATTATAATAATAAGAAGTGAGGATTAGGAAATTAGTGAATATAGGAGATTTTTGGTGTTTTTGAAAGTATATCAAAATATATCAAAATGCATGTCTATTTATAGAGAAAAAAATTTTATGGCCGTTGGTGAATTTTTTTTTTTTTTTTTTATATTTTTAACGACAATATTACCGTTTTTTTAATATAACCGTTGGGAAAAAGAGAAAAAATCTGATTGGCTCAATTACATGGGACTGACGCGTGTCGCCTCCTCATTCGTTGCTCTGACGCGCGCCAGTACCCATGCATTTTAAATTTTTTTTGCTGGCAACGAAACCAAACGGCGTCGTTTTTGATGCATGCAGCACCAAAACACGTCGTTTTGGTTCTTTTCTCAGCAAATTGAAGCAAGTGGCGTCAGCAGCTCGTGGGCCCCACACAATCACTATTCATTCTTAAATCCCCTCAAGTTATGAGCGTTTTTCATTCTCCTCAAGGATGAGAGGAATTATCCTCATTGTTGTAGAGTACGGTTTTTTTTTTTAACACCTCAAGTTTCTCTCGTGAGGGTTTTTTCACTCACTGCTGGGAGTGCTCTTACACCCACTAATATCAAGTAATCAACTGATGAAATAGCGTTGCTGAAAGTTACACGTGTACAATATTTGGCAAATATAATAATAATAATAATAATAAAAAAGTAAAGATAGCGACAGAGGATAAAATCCAAAATATAAATTCATCCATATCCCACTTTTTTCTACTTCCTAAACAAGGCACAAAAACTGAGAAAACTAATGAGGAAATCCTTCGGCGGAGGATACGGCGGCGCCGGCGGTGGCAACGGCGGAGATATGTTAAGAAGAGTCGTGAGAACCAAGCTTAAGAATTTCCAAGAATCTGTACCTTCACCAAATTCTTCCACCACCAAAAATTCTTCATCTTCTTCAACAAAATATAAAAATTCATCACCCAAACATGCCCTTTCTATCTCCTCCACAACCCCAAATAGTATTAATGGACATCCACTTTCTCTCCCTTCACCTTGGCCTCTGATTAATAATGGTTTTGGTGTTAATGAAGATGATGATGATAATAATGGGGTTAGTGAGGTTGATAGTGAATGGGAATGTTTGGAGAATTATTATGATCCTATTTTTGGTGTTGTTCCTTCTTCTCATGAAGTTCAACATGCCCTATACTCTCTTCAACAGTAAGTTCACTTGTTTTTCCGTATTATGTTTGTTTGTTATTCCGTATTATGTTTGTTGCGATGTTGTAACGTAGGTACACTCAGGTGTATAATGTATACTCGGAGTACATGGAAGATGGTTTCTTATACTTATATTTTAATTTGATTTGATTTTATTTGTTTGTGTTAAGTTAATACTAGTGTGTTAGCATGAGATAGAATTTCAAATTCTAAAGCTATATTAGATTCTAACTAATTATGTTCTGTTGTTTAATTGATGAAGTTGAATTGCAATTGCCCATAATAATTGCCATGATTTTTGGAATCTAGTTACTATAAACTAACTAATTTAAGTCCACCTAAATCATAATTTTGTATCCAAAATGAAAATTTAATGATTATAAATTTCATGCCGTCAGGTAGTAAATGGCTTAAATAAGGAAAGTTTAAGTCTTCAGCTTTGTTTTGTGCTTGTTTTGAGCTACCTAACATCCTAGATAATGAGGATTAAGGTGCTAGTATTGTGTTTTCATTTGCATTATTTTTCTTAGACATGGCAATCGTGTTCGTTTTCGTGTCGGAAGGTCAACACTAACCCGACCCATTTAATAAAAGTGTCGTGACGTGTATGTCGTGTTGACCCAATTAATTAATCGTGTCTAAAACCCTTAACACTAACCCGCTTTTTTTCGTGTTTAGTTTGTGACGTGTTGTCGTGTTGAATTGTAAAATATTGGTCTTGTTCAATATATTTATCAATAATTCCATAAATTATTGGGTTGGGTCATGTTAATTTCGTGTTGAGAATCTCAACACTAACCCAACCTATATAATCAAATGTGTCGTGTCGTGTTGACTTGTTTAATTAAACGTATTAGATAATCCTGGATGTTGTGTCAGTTTTTAACTTTTTGTCGGCTCTAATTTTTCTTAATGTTTCAAGTTTTTTCATCTTTTTGCTCCCTTAGCCTTGCTTAGTTTTCAGCTTTTTTTTAGTGCCTATAATTAGTTTCCAGAGTTCTTTACCTATGACTGCTCTGCTGTAGAGTCTTTCATCCACTCTCACGCTCGCAATCTGCCACGGAAGAGAGGTCTCATGATGTAGACATAGACATGGATGACCAAACGAAGAGTTCCTCCGATACACTGAAAAGAACATCCTCAAAGGGTTCAGAGACAGATTGGATTGAGCCGTCAATGCTTCCATATGATAGGAAATTGATACAATCTCCTGGATGGGGGAGGGTGCATGATGCTTTTCATCTCTTGCAATCTGAGCCTAGTGTTCAGGTAATTTCGAGTATAGTTTTTGTGGAACATATTTGGTTTAAGCCCTTGTGATATTGCATTAGATTAAACCAACCGATTCTACCGATTATCTGAAGGTTTACTTTGTAGTCTTGTTTATGGTTAATGAAACAAGCAGTTTAGTAAAAAAATTCAGGTCATTTCCAGCTCTTTACTACTGTTTGACATTTGTGTGTTAGTGAAAAGTGATGCTCACTTGGAGGAGTGATAAAAGATATAAGAGTGTTATTTGGCTAATAAGGAGTAATGAATTTTATGACATTCAATTTGTAACCGACCTCATTAGGATACACGACAATCATTGTGAAATAGAGGAACTATATGAGAAATCTTTCTCAGATATTAACCAACCAAACTCTTAAAAGTATGTTTTCAAAGACACTCTTAAAAAATATAAGTTCTGCCTTAGGTTACATGATTTTTATATTGTTAATGTGAAAGAGTTTGTTACATCACAGAGAATGGTGGTATCATTGTCATCTGATAAAGCTGTTTGGGATGCTGTTCTGAACAATGAAGCTGTGCGAGAGATAAGGGATTCTTATCGTGATGGTTAGTGTGCTTCTCTAAACATATTACTGATTAATGTAATTGTATTTGCATCATATGAGTATTTTTCAACATATTCAAAACATTTTTATGTGCTTTGTGAAGTTTTCTGCTGTTTCAAAAATTCATTCAAGTTTTTTATGTTATATGAGCAGCTTCTGAATCGATTCCCCCCAGCTCTGTGGAAAAATCTGACTTTTCTAGGGAAAATTTTAAAATATTCAAGTGGATGTTTGAAAATGTGAAGATGAAATTGCTGGAAGTCCTAGAGGATATTTCACAGTTTTTGGGCGAATTATTTAAACCTCTTGATTGTGAAATAGAAGGAGAGTCTTATGCTTTCACAGAGAAGCTCAAGTCAACATTCTTGATCACGATTGTAGTCTTGTTGATAGTGGTGGTTGCACGCGGACACATGGCTTGATCAATCAATATTCGTCGACATTAATTAACATGTTTTTTCTTCATATTTAGTGTTCAACTTTTTATGGCGAAAAAACCTCTTATGGCAACATTGTTTATTTGTCTTGACTTTCAGAATGTGGTAGTTTTGATGACTCTTGCGTCAACTATTTATCCCTTTTGCACAATTTAAGTTGATAATGTTAATGGTAAATTTTTATTCTAATATTGGTACCACATATATGTTGATGTACATTGATAATGTTAATGGTAAATTGTTATTCTAATAATGAAGCACTAACATGGCAACACCAATAGCATAGGGGTGAACATGATCTGGTATAGTCGTCAGCTTATCTTAATTCAATTGTATATCACACTAATACACTATCACTTGAATACTTTAATTGCGATTGTAAGTACATGTAGTTTTATTGATCCTTATGTTTCTTACCACTTGTTTAGTGATTTTAATTCGGTTTCTGGTAGACATGTTAAACCGGTAGTTAATGAATTAATTTACCACACTATCACTTGAATAATTCAATTGTGATTGCAAGTGCGGGTAATTGTATTGATCCTTATGTTTTCTTACCACTTGTTTAGTGATTTTAAGTCGGTTTATGGTAGACATGTAAAACCGGCAGTTAATGAACTAATCTAATAGTAATATTAGTTCCTCTAGTAACAAGGGAATTTTCTCGCTAGGGGAATTGAAAACTCTATTCAAAGGTGTAGATATTACTTCCAAGACCAAAATGCAATTATAGGCCTATAGGGCTATAGATGTTATGCATTTGCGGGATCAATAAAGTTAGAAAATTAACATACTGGTATATGTTTGCTGAGCAATCAGAAGCTTTTGTAGCATATTAGCATTAAAAGTTTCATACAAGTGTTAATCAAGAATTTGAACTCGTACATACAGTTGATCTTTAAGGTCTCATACTTACAACTTTACAAGGGGTACTAGATACATGTAATGGTGGTGTTTGTAAACATCAGATACTTTCCAGTCTAGCTGAGGTCAATAACGCTATTCAAGAGGTACTCTGCATCAAGGGAAACAATGGCTCGCTTGTCAAGGTTGCCAATTGAACAACATTCCTTCTCTTTGGGATTGAATGCCACTACATCTTGAGCAAAAGAACAATCTGATCCAGGTGACACCTACACAAATTGCAGGACGCGTACAAATTACACATTAGTCCCATCTTAAAATTGACTTTAGCAGTAAAGGAAGAAGAAATCATATCGATATCATTCTGAGACAAGTTAACGAGAGGAGATACTGCAATGAAAAAATTATAACTCTGTTTATAGTGGCAATGATAGCTCAAAAAACTTACATCATACAGGGTTTCTCCAAGTTTAAGTTTGACAGCTCCACTCTTGTAAACAAGCAACTTCCCCATCAGTCCTGCAGGCAATTCTTCCAAACTGCAGCTTTGCTGTGAAATACCTGCTGTACTAGATCCCTTTGCCCCCATGTTCGTTGTCATTGGACCTTTTTGACCTCCTCCCAAACTGTCTTCAATTTCTTTCCCCTTAGCAGTAGCAGATCGTTTAACTACAGGAAGAGATGGAGGAAGTTGGAAAAACAGCAACCGTTCTTGACCTGTCTCTTCTGGGTTCTGTGAAGTATCACAATTCATAAGCACATATTAAACACACAAGCATCAGAATATTTGCTATTATTTCCATTTAAGAATACTCACCAGAAATCCAAGTTCTGAGGCAGAACTTATTGAATCCTCATCATAATTTGACTTCATTGCAGCTTCCCCAAACTCGGCTTCATCAAGAATGACTAGGAATAGCCAAAAGATGTCAACCTCAGAGCAATAAAAAGTTTCAACTCCAAGGAAAATAAGCGATATAAATGTATGCTACTAGGGACTTTTTAGTTGCATTGTTAAAGTCTTTGTGTTCACAGGTTCAAAATTCTCACAGGATGGTTTGTACTTGATTTCTATGTCTTCGATTTCTTTACTAAGTGGATCTGCTATTTGATAATCCATGGACTTTCAAATATATAATTTGCTCTTAGAGTCTTATCTTGTTAGCATATGACTTGCTTCAGTGTGAAGACTAAAACAACATTTGATTCATAGCTTTCAAAGGCCAAAGCAAACCTGGATCACCAGAGTATGGCCTCCTCCATGGAAGTGTGGTAGGATAGCAAGTAGTAGTGTAGTTCTGCAGTTGATGACAAAACACATATTGTCAGCTTAAGTGTAATAAGTCAAGGATAAGAGAGAAAATGACAAATTAAAGCTTTCATAATTCATACCCAAGGCTCTTCGTACTCTTTGGTTTTAAGAACTTGATCATCTCCTGAACTCTTTTTTGTCACACTTGGTCCAACTGCAGGTAGAGACGAAACAGGGTGCTTGGTGCTGTCATCCAAGTCCATAAGATCCGATTTTTGGCTGTGTTTGAGACCTTCATCTTGAAGAACATCAGATCCCCTTGTGATGATAGATCTCTTTGCTCCTCCATGAATAAAGGTGGGTTGCATTTGAGCTACAAGTATAAAACCCAACGTAAGTCACTGATCTTGACCCAATATCAGAAGCAGTAGCTAGACAAGAAAGCTGATGTGGCATTGGCAGCCAGGTACAAGCCCGTTTGCTAGTTTTCGTTATGGAAGAAGCCCAAGCACCATTACAACAAACTAATAGAAAATAATCTTAAATTTCAGCCAAATAGATGTCATAGCAAACTTTATCTAGACAGAAATGTCATACGAGTAGCAACCATTAGTGGCAAGTCCGACAAAGAAGAGATCATGGAAAGGAGATAAGGACTACAATGAAAATTAGAACGCATGGTAGTCAAGAGAAGGTTTTGATCTATTATATCATAGGTGTATCTAGGAACTTCACAATCATAGGTCTCTTGTATATCCTATGATAAGCCAAAACACACACACACACATACTGATGTAACTCTATTTGCACAAAATATGTGCCTATTTTAGTGAATGTGTGATGCGCGTAACTTTTCCTCATGCTTCAGCATTGGAAATTCTTAGCACCTCAACTCCATGGCAAACAATATACTTCATATTTCAATTTAAAATGTGGAGTAGCTTTTAGGTTTTACCATAGGTTCATAAATTCAAAACCCCTCGGATTATGGTTATGTGATAGTAACTTGCCAAGGTGAAAGGTGCCACTCTACGGAGCCTGGTTGAGGCAGTGGCTTAAACTCTTTAAGTATATAATGAATGTCCGTATTTAGTTTATCTATGTATAGCAAAACATGTTGTTTATAGAGTTTCTTCCACTAAAGAGAGTTCGGGGAAAACATTATTAGTATACTTCATCGCACATTTGCACCCCAGTCCACACAAAGTATTTGTTCAATTGCTCATATGATAAAGAAACTCACCTTTGTTCTCGGCTTTAGATCGTTGTCGAGACTTGCCCTGAAATACACAAAAGGGGGAAGTTGTAATTTACACCCCTCTATTAGGGCCAAAAAAAAAAAGGGGGGGATCTCCAAAAATCAACATTTTCATATCAACCTATTACCGATCGCATTAGCTTTCTTAATAAGTCATCACAAACCTAAATGCTGTTTAAAATAAAACTAGGAAGGAATCAAAAGTGAATATATAAATCTCATAAATTGACACAATCACACATGATTTTGTTATGCATTCTGAAATAAATACGAACTGAGCTAAAGACTGTAAACATAACATTAACATTATTACACCGTATTACTCGCTAATACAGTAATTAAACAAGTAATCTTGATCACTTACTCGTTCATCAAAACGCTGAAGCAATAACTTCGCTTCCGTATCATCATTTCCATCAGAAATTTCTCTGCAAATTATTCCATCAAACATTTTAAGTAATTTTTATATAAAATTAAACAAGAAAATGAAATATAATTTAGGTTGAAATTTCTTTTACTTAGTAGTAGTAGATTTTCTAGTCCTTCGTTGCGATGGAGCTTTTGGAGCGAATCTGTGCTGTAAACATCAAAGATAAAACTGGAATTTAATCAAAAAAACAAAGAAAAAAAGAATGAAAATTGAAATTGAAAACCAGAAAAATGCTTAAATACTAACCTTTCGAGGGGAAGAAGAAGGTTTATTTGAATCCATTGACAATTAAACGGAGAAATTACGGAAATCTGTGAAATTCGGAAAATGTAAGATTTTAGGGAAGAACAGACATAGGAATTTCTGGCGTGAATTGATCGGAAAACTGGAAATATTCCGGTGAGAATTGATCGGAAGAAAGGAAATTAGGGTTCCAGAAAAAAAAAAAAAAAAAAGTTAGGGATGAGAATCGAACCTGCGACCTTCGCAAAATTGAAAGTGTGGTTTACCACTGAATCAATTTACAAACTTATGTTGAAATGATGAATGAAAATAAATATATATTTCTACACGTAGTAGGGTTAAAAATAGTTAAATAAACCATTTATTTTACGGTTTTTCTGAAATACTCCTAAGTTATCACTTAATTTACCAATATAATTCATCAAAATTTTCAAATTCTTCTTCCATTCATAAATTTCACAAAAACATTACCAAATGGCCTTACTAAGATTTATTGTGCCACGTTGTCTTTGATAAATTCATTTTAAAAAAATTTAATTAATTAATTATAAAAAAAAAAAATTAAAAAAAACCACCACCCCTTAGGCCAAGCCGCCCAACCAGCCCCCCATCGACGCCCAGACCCCTCCGTGGTTAGGCTGCCGGATGGTGGTGGCCTGGTGGGTTTATTTTTACTAATTTTTTATTTAATTAAATAACTTTACATAAGGTTTTTTTAAAAAAACTTAAATATGAACCAATCAGATGCTGTCATATGCATAATTAATCTTAATGAATAACGGAGTTAATGACATTAGTTATGGCATTTGGTGGCATATAATTTTCGTAAAACTTATATAGTGAATTTGAAATTTTAAATGGGTATATGGTGAATTGAGTGATAACTCAAGGGTATATGTTGAAAACCTTTTATTTTATTGTAACATATTATAAAACATAATATTTTGAATAATTATGTAATAACTAATAACCATATTTTTATACCGAACATAAGCAAGTAATAGAAGAAAGGTTAACTAATTTAAAGAAGTGAAATTTGAGCACAAATAACATTTTGAAACGTATGGTAATAAAAGATTACAAAAGACGGTAAATTTCTAAATTTATAATCATATAAACTCCTATACTTTCACAGTGAAGTTCAATTCGACATCTTGTTCACTGTTGTAGTCTTGTTGATAGTGGTAGATGCACGTGGACATAGGGCTTGATCAATCACCATTCGTCGACATTAATTAATATGCATATTCTTCATATTTAGTTTTTGACTTTTTATTACGTTGAAAAAACTTTTTTTGGTAACAATGTCTATTAATCTCGGTTTTTCGAATATTCATCATGAAACCTTTTAGATATATTGTAAATCATATGATTTTTGCATCAATTATTCATTCCTTTTGCCCTAATAATGCTTATGGTAACTTGTGGATCTAGTATCTATACCACGTATATGGTAAAAACTTCAAAGTTATACATAATAATTAACAAAGGTAGTACAAAAACTTTGATATACTTGTCCATTTGCTAGAGGTCGCACATTGATTTTGGTGGTATACTCAATTCTTGCGAGTAATATTCTTACCTTATTATGAATTTTTTTTGTGATTTTGTTTATTTACACATTGCAAACTTGTTCAAGAATTAGGGTTTTGCCTAAATTTTGGTGTCTTAGTGTCAACATCAAGCTTCATTGTCTATTATATAAGCAATTAAAATCTTGGAGTATCATTATTGTGTTGTAAAAAATAGATTGTTCAACTTAGCCTACGTGGAAATGACTAAGAAGGCTAGCCGTAAATGTCACCAACATTCGACCCAAAATTAAAAGTCCAATTGTTCTATTTGTGCACCCTGTCATGTGCTGACTATTTCCTTTAGCCTTTTGCACACGGTATACTAGAATCACTACTAACTCTAGTTAAGGTTCCCCAACCTATTAAGTAGAAAAATATTTAAGAGAGAGGTTTCTTAAAGAATTTTTTGTATTAATACTTGAGAGAGTTTACAATTGTGTGTATGATACAAAAATGAGGAGAAAGTCCCTATTTATAATCTTCCTTACAACCTATAGACTTTTTGTCTAGATTGTTCTTAAATTCTTAAATTGAGGGTTCTACATACACAAGTTCTAGAGACTTCTACACCATTATAAGTACATCCTTCTTATTTACAAGATTTTAAAAAAACTCTAAGTAATTATAGCTCTTAGAATATGTACAAGATTGCCCTAAAGAATTATAGAAGTTTCCGGATATTTATCAAACCTCTTTATCTAATCTGGACGTTTTTGGCCCCACATTGAAAAACTGATTTTGCCATGATATTCATTGAACCCAAAAATGGCGGACCTCCAAGGTTAGGCCTATTTGGACTCCATTTGGGCCTTCAAATAAGTCATTATTGTGTTATTTTCGATGTGATATTCACAATATTACCCTGTGCTAAATAAAGCGGTATAGAGGGAAGTTGTTATTGGCACCCATGTCCCATGGCTCCGATTGTTGCCTAATGCCCATAGGTCACATTGATTAGGGGTGAAAGTTTGGTTTGCGGTGTGGTTTATAGCTCAAACCGAAACCAAACCACAATAATTTGGTTTTGGTATTTTTCAAACCATACTGCACCATATTATTATTGAAATCGAAACAAACCACACCGTTTTAAATTCGGTTTTTCAAAAGAAAATCCCACACCGAAAATTTTCATCCTCTTTCTTTTTGCTCCATATAATTGGTCATTCACTCTAACATTGCCCACATTGGTTGATATTCTATGACATAAAGAAACAAAAGTTTTATTATTTTTGGCTTTATATATGTAGGGAAGAAATAATTTAGTATTGGGCTAGACTATAATTTGGATATGGCCCATAATTCGGTTTGGATTTCGATTTTTGGTTTTTCAAATATTAAAACTGAAACCAAACCATATTGATTCGATTTTGAGATTCCTCAAACCGCACCGAACCATATAAGAAAAAATAAATTGCACCACATTTCTTATTCGATTTGGTTTGTGGTTTGATTCGGTTTTAAACCGCATTAGTTTCACCCCTAACATTGGCGCCTCTAAAAGTGTGGGGATTTGAGTCGTGACAACCTGGAGACCTAACTCAAAATTTAAATAAAAATAAAATAAAATAAATAAAAAAATAATAAAAAGGTGAATAGGGACAAAAAAAAAGTAGACGAATACAAATTCTGGACTTCGGAGTTGGAGGGGTTGTTGCTAACTCTTCAAGTCTACAGTTGCCTGTAAGTTGTTCTTCCATTAACCATCTTAACCAACATCGTTAATCATCTAATTTATCTTAATCATCCTTGATTCTATGGTTAATGTCTTTGAGTTCTTTGGAATTTGAAAGAGGACAGCCACGGAGCTCACCAACAAGCTGTCTGAGGCTAGGACTTCGGTTCAACGGGTTGCCGAAGCACACTCCAAAGAGGTTGCGGCGCTTCGGTCTCAAGTCGATGGCCTCCAAAGGCAGGTCACCTCTCTTACTTCGGCCCAAACTAGCCTTACCACTGCCCATAACAAAGAGGTAGCGTTGCTGCATGCCGCCCACAAGCTAGCCTTCTAGATAACCAGCCAGAAAGGGAGCATCATTTATGAGGAGGGAGCTTTAGAGAATCCTCGTGATTGGGACTGGTACCTGAAGAGGTTCAGTTGGGCCAAAGGGTATGTACGGGCCAAGGCCGAAAGAGGAGAGAACTTGGAGTGGTGGCAACCAACTGCCAGCGGCCTCTCGAAATCACTGAAGGTAGTGAGGGCAAGGATGAAGTGGAGGGCGAAGATGAGGACAAATCTTGAAGCCCGGGGACAGGACCCCTATAGGCGTCCATTTTGGCGGGGCCCACGTCGCAAGGTGTCTGAGTCCTTTATAACCGCACGTTAGTGCATTGGGGAAGCGTTGTCGAGAAGAGAAGTCGCCACCGCGCCTTTATGGTGTTCGCTGACACCTAAAATGTTGCGTCAATAGAATTGACTCCATAGTCAGGTCAGTAACCAGAGCATGGATTCGAGGATAGGTTACAGTCCAAGTCATTAACCCAGTCCGCTTGCCTGTAGCGATCTCTACTCGGTCTCATTGCAATTCCATCATGATATTTATTGAATACACGAATATATCAGTTTTAAGTCCTTTAGCTCGATTACTAGGTTAGTTTAATTAATACACAAAAAGGACTAAATTATTGTGACCACTTAGGTAGTGGAAAAATCATGGAAAACCATAGAAAAATATGGAAAAATAATAGAAAATTTTGGAAAATAATTTTAAGCTTAGAAAAAGTTATGGCATGCCTAGGAAAATTATGAAAATGCCCTTGAGGGTTGAAAAAGTGTAAAAAAATTTTTTATAGAAAATTCCCGAGAAATGTCCAAAGCGTATTTGAAGATTGAAAATTCGTCTAAGGCCTCGAGTTTTGATGGAAATGGTTTTAGAATGGTTTGATGAGTCACTTGAGCATGCTTTTCAAGACTAGACCTATTTGTAGGATCTAGAAGTACTCAAGAGGGGAGGGGGGGTGAATTGAGTACTTGGTCATTTTGAAAATTATTGCTGTTTTAGACATGCAAACAATTAAACTGTTTTAGCAGCGGAAATATATTAAAGCAATAAATAAAAACACCAAGATTTAACGAGGTTCAGCCAACTATGGCCTATGTCCTCCTACCCTAGTTATTTTATTAATCAACTCAGAAAAGATAAAATAACCTCACTCGACTGTTCAACCCAAACAGTCCACTCAACACTCAACCCAAGTGTTTCCCCCCTGCGCACTTGAACTCTCAAGCACTTGCAAATGAACTCTCAAATGCTCCCTTTGATTACTCACCCCTCTGGTAATGATCTCAATACACAATGTGTTTTGTCTCATAGAATTGCTCTCAAAAAGCTAAAATGAAATAAATATTCTAGAACAAATGTGTTGCTAAGCTCTTCGAGGATAGTATGAAAAGTTTTCTCTCAAAATGTGTATACTAATTTTTTCCGTTCAAGAGAAATCCATATTGTGATAATAGATGTCTGATTATATAGTGAGAAGGATAAAGAGATCAAAGATATTCGTTCATGTGAATATTCATACAATCATAAAGATTATAGTGAATACTCACACCTTTCCATAATGGAAAGATATTCCTTGATTTTATTTTCTTCAAAATAAAATCAAAGATATGCACGATCCTTGCTCTTTTTATCCTTCAATATAATCTTCTAAA